CATAGTTCACAGCAACCTCAAACTCTTGGGCTCAAGTTATTCTCTTGTCTCAGCCTCCCAAGTAGCTGGGACTACAGGCACCTGCCACAATGCCCAGCTATTGTTGGAGACTGGGTCTTACTCTTGCTCAGTCTGGTCTCCAACCTGTGAGCTCAGGCAATCCACCCCCCTCAGCCTCCCAGAGTGCTGGGATTATAGGTGTGAGTCACTGCACCCAACCCATTACTCTTTATCAATTTTTATCTTTATTTATTTATTTTTTTTGAGACAGAGTTTTATTATATCACCCTTGGTAGAGTGCCATGGCATCACAGCTCACAGCAGCCTCAATCTCTTGGACTTATGTAGTTTTCTTGCCTGGGCCTCCCAAGTAGCTGGGACTACAGACACCTGCCACAGTGCTTGGCCATTTTTTGTTGCAGTTGTCATTGGCTGGGTTCGAACCTGCCAGCCTCCATGTATGTGGATGGCGCCGTAACCACTGTGCTACTGGTGCTGAGCCTATTTTGATATTTTTGAAGAGTCCAGTCCGGTGTTACTTCTGTAGGATATGATTTTCTTTCATTCTTACTCTATTGGTATTTCACTGTAAAGAAGGGCTTTCCCTTTTCGCTTACTTATACCAGCATGAACACATAGATTCTTATTTTATATGAGTTGTAATCCATTACTATCGTTTTTTAAAATATTCAAATTATCCCAGATTTGACCAGGGGGAACATTTCAAGCTAGTTTTTGTGTCCCTTGGACATGTCCCCATCATTCTCAGAGCACTTTCTTTTTGGTGCTACAAGAGTTCAGAGTGTGACTTTCCCTGCCTTAACCCTGGAATCAGCTGTTTCTCCAAGGATCCTGAGTTCTTTTTGGTGGTCCTTATTATGTGGGCACTAGATGTCCTCATTGCTACAGGGTGTCATTTTTTTAGGCTTGTTCAGAGAACAAAGCCAGGAAAGAAAGGAAAAAGCAAGCGAGCAGATAAACATATACATTCATATATTACCATAGACACGTGTGTATATGTATTTCCATGTATTTATTCGTATTTTTTAAAGAATATGAAAAACCACAAGTTCATCCTGATACTTCCAATTCTAATTGAATTCCACAGGGTCTAGTCTAGACTAGTATAGTCTAGTCTAACCTTTCAGTTTTTGGCCAGGGCTGGGTTTGAACCCGCCACCTCTGGCATATGGGGTCGGCGCCCTACTCCATTGAGCCACAGGTGCTGCCCAATCTAACCTTTCTTTTTCCCCTCCCTCACTTCCTGTTTTTGAGGACTGATTATTATAGGTGCTGATAACAGTGGCCTAGGGGAGCTATGAGGGATTCATATATAAGGAGCAAAACGGAACTGCCAAACGTACATGAGTGCTTGGCTTGGGCCATCTGGCAGCTAGGCTCAGAATATATAGGCAGACCACTTACATCCTAGATGCATGAATAATAAGCTGAAACCCCTTCCTTATTAAGGTGTACTGTATTCAAATCATAGCTATACTTTAGATTTTCTTACTAGCTTGTCTTTCGGCTCTTTCACTGTCTTTATTAAAGGAGTTTCTTATTTCACAAATACCTTTAGGTCCATAATTAAACCTTTTAGAGTAACTATGTACCACATCTTGGCCATGCCTTCTTTCTAGCCCTTTTCCTTCCCCTGCTCATGTAGTTTGATACCAACCTCATTCTTAAGTCTTTGCCTCCTTAGCTCCACTGGCAGAAGTAAATTATCCTTCTACACAGCTGGGACGGCTGCCCTGCCCCCATTTTACTCTGTGAAACAGTCTTAGATGTAGGGAAGACAATGCAGGCAGCTGTCTCAGCAGAGCCAGAAGTGAGCAAAACCTATTGACTGTGCTTGGTTTTTTCTTTAGGTGACAGAGCTTTGGACAAGGCATGATTAAGTGTAACCTATCTTCTAGAAAAGATCTTAAATCATGTGGGCTGTTCTATGCTAGAACCATTCATTAACATTTCTCCTTTCTTCCTAGAGCTGGTACTGAAGGTGAGAATTCAGAACCCATCTCTTCGTGAAAATGATTTCATTGAAATTGAACTGGACCGACAGGAGCTCACCTACCAAGAATTGCTCAGAGTGAGTTGTTGTGAGCTGGGTGTTAATCCAGATCAAGTGGAGAAGATCAGAAAGCTACCCAATACTTTGTTAAGAAAGGTAAGAAATGTCTGGTAAGCGTAAGTGGCTGCTTTTTGCATTTGGAAAATACCTAGGTTCCTCCTTGGTTATGTGAGTCATAGTTGGAGAAATAAACAGAGAATAGAAAAGGAGCAGAGTGGTTTTCCAAATGTGATCATTAAGCTTTCTTTCCCTCTACTGAGTCTTCAGAGACTTCAAAACTGGCAGTTTTGAAAGTTGTAGGATACTGGAGAGCTTTTTCTGAATTACCATTCATCTATACCTATTTTTGGTTGTTTCTATAGTGACCTGTAAGGATTAAGTTAGTGCAGTATTAGATGTGCCTTATATTTTACAAGTTAAGAACTAAGTTAAAATACAGGGTTAACCCACATAGATACATGTGTGGTCCTTTCAGCATCTCTGCTTTTTTTTTTCGAGACAGAGTCTCACTATGTCGCCCTCAGTAGAGTGTCATGGCGTCACAGCTCACAACAACCTTAAACTCTTAGGCTTAAGTCATTTTCTCTTGCCTCAGCCTCCCAAGTAGCTGGGACTACAGGTGCCTACCACAATACCTGGCTATTTTTTGGTTGTAGTTGGCCGGGGCTGGATTCAAACCCACCAGCTCCAGTGTCTGTGGCTG